AAAGGTAGGTTTTTCAGACCATCTCATAGACTTCATTGTTTGTATTTGAGCCGATGAAGTAGCACTCTGTGCCTCTTGCAGCTGATTAGTCATCGTTGTAACCCGTGATGTAACAAGTTGGTCCAGATCTTTCAATAACTGGCTGGAAATCTGTTTCACAGAATCAGCTATTTTCTTGTTAATCTGTTCTTCTGGCATAGCGATTATAGTAGTAGTAGCTGATGTTTTCCCAGCGGTGGCACTAGACCCTGCCGGTCTACTTGCAGTTTGCTTATGCGACTCCATGGAGAATTATGAAAACGAAGTGAACTTTTAAATATTTGATGTAATTGAACTTGAACGTCTGTTAGCTGCCGAGTTGCTGACTAGACTGACTAACTTCCTACTGCTTCCCGCTATTCCCTATCTGATTGCCCCGCCCATCTCAATTACTGTCACCATAACATTGAAGACAGTATTTTCCCTCTATACTATCGAATCGAGGGAAAAGATATTAATGCTGGCTTCAGTTTAACATCTACATTGCATCTACATTTCATATACAGCCGTATACATGACATCTATACTCTCACAAATAAAAAGAAATTTTGTTGATAACATTTCTAGCTATTGTGCAAGACTTAATTTAGCTATCACCCACTATTCCAAATTCATATTTTAGCAAAAAAGATATTGTTACTATGCTTTGTTTAAAGCTCATCGGTACATTTGTTTTACCTTTTCCATATGGCTGTATTTCACACAGTTGCTCAAAAAAAAGGGTGGGGGGTGGGGGGTCATTTTGATGAATATTTTTACATATTGAACTCCACGTTTTTTTTTTTTTAAAGAATATTTTATACTATATATAAAAAAAACTAAATTTGATCATTAGTGTCCGAATAAACTCATTTTGTGACAATTCTGAAACAACAGAATGTGACTTATTTCACTCTTACAAACTGTAATTTGTTGAATGCCTGCAAAAGACTTCTATTCCACTTACTAGACAGTGTTACCTAAATCTACTATAATCTTTCAACACAGCAACCCTTTTTTTCAATCAATACTTGCCATTCATTTGTGAGATACTAGCTGGAAATACTGTAACTTGACATTTAGCTAGCTTTTAAGCTGGATTGATAACTTGCTCTCAAAACCATTTTGCCTTTTTTATGTATCTATAATTTATTTTCTAATTTTGAACAAAAGAGACGTACCTAATTTCATATTGGATACAAGTGTTGCTCAAAAATTTGGTAAAAATATGAAAAAAAAATTATTTGGGTTCTATTTTGTGATTTGTGACAAAAGTTGACCTTTGTACTCATTGCCAGCTTTGTAATGTATGCTGTTCTAAAGAGTTAACAAATTTGGGCTTCCATGCAAACTACATTAAATTGGCAAATTACATTATAAAGACCTTTAGTATTGCAAGAAACAGATACAAGAGCCTATAAATCATCAAAATCGAGAAAATTCCTTGTGATTTTTTACAGTGGTCAATGTATTTCATTTGCAGGTAGCAGCTGTATGAACTTGGGCACTTCAACAGACTGGCTACAGCAGTTAGATCAGTTGAAAGAAGGTGTGCGAGTCGCAGGAAGTTGTAATTTTTCAGATATTGATATGTCGCAGTTTCAAGGTAATCCTGGTACAGTTGAAATTTTTGTTGTCTTTGCTCAATATTTTTATAAAAGAATTAACATTGAAAGTATATTTCATGTACCCCTTTCCCATGGCTTACAGTCATTGTAGAGAAAATAATCTAGTTTTATTTTCTAGTGAAGACATGTTGTATGAAAGGGATTTATGAAACATATCTATCAAAATATTGCTGCAATATTTAATAATTTACTTGTTAACCAGCATGTACTGCTGACTACTGTCATGCCTGTTTGGTGGTTTGCGAATCATTGAAACACCACGTCTCTGAGTACTGGCTTCATGCTTGTTTTGATTGTTGACTTGGAGGTGAAACTTTAGTACACCGCATTTGCTCTATCACTAACATATACACCTACATAAATGACTGACTTGTCTATGGTCAAAATTAGTTGTATTTGATCCAGTGTATTTAATAAATGCAATTTCTGAGTTGAAAGTACCTTTTATAGTCCAAATGCAATATACAAATTAGCTAGCTGCATGAAAAAAGTTAATTGATTTTCGGTCATCAATATACTGGTCCAGTACCAATATGTGTACATTATATACAAAGTTTACCTTTTTTAGTAGAACACATGTTAGAGCATAAATGATAGAGGTCAAAATAAGCCATTTTCACGATCCAGTATTCAATAATAAAATGCAATTTGTTGTTCATGTGCATTTCTGTTAGTGATGTGCTTCCAAATACATACAGTGAATATCATAGTCATTACCCTTTCTAATCTACAGCCTATTCCTTGGCAGGTCTTATGGAAAGCATGAAACAAGCAGATCTGAAAAACTGGTCTCTGGACCCAGAACAGTTCGCAGACCTTGCAAATTCACTCAATCAGTTCTTCACACAAGCAGGCATACTAGGGCAAAGTACAACAGACCCAATGAAGTCAAGTCCTACA